TCAAAATTAATCAAAAATCAAGTAGTAGTCGAATCCAGACCACAAATGTGTGAAATGAGTATTTGCTATGGCGGTTGGCAAATATGCTGAAAATATATGAATCCCAAAGCACAAACTGATGCTGTGTGGCCATTGGGGGAAAGTTCGGAAAATTTAGAAAATCCAGATGTATAAGAGTAATAAGACTGACACTAGGATTATCTTTTCTCGTTACTATACCACACTAGACCCTAAAAAACTAACATGACAGAGAGACCAACAAAAAGAATATGCATGGAATTAATATACACTAACCTCGTTAACAATTCCATCGCCACCGACACATACAATTCCTAGAAAGTGCAGGCAAAAAATGATTTAGATGATCAACATAAACTACTAAGGAAAGATGTAAAGATAAATATACCATCTGGACAGGTACTAAAATCAATAGTTGATACAAGAGATTTTGCATGACCAGCATGTGTAGTTTTAATCACTTCCATCTTGAAACCTGCAAGCTGTCTCTAACACTTATTATTATTATTAAACCAGACAAAAGTACTTGAGGTACAAAAAAAAACATCTGCATAAACGAGCATCACCTATAAACTTTTTATATATAACTGAATGGCAAAATGTCAAAGAGTACAGAAATGGCATTCCTAATAAATTCAGCATCCCAGAACTGAGTAACTGACATAAGTCAATATAGATGTCAAAGGCCATGGAGCCGACATGACATGGATCGAAATGTTTATAGAACCGTGGTCCGAATGTAGGGCCAGGCTAATGAATGGAATCAAAGGTAAAATCAGGCTAGTGATTGAGATTGGGATTTTAAACTATACAGCATACAAGACTCAGTATTACACGTTACTAATCTAAAGTACATCAGTTTATTTTATCGTATTGCCTTTTTGCCTTCTACATGCCACCCTAAGTAAAATACATTAAGATCCACATATTATACATCTTAGTAATCAATATAACCACAAAATGAATTGAATAAGACCAGAAATGAGTTCAACTGAATGTAATGTAAGAAAGTGTTCCCAGTTTACAAAAAGAACAACCCAAATACAACTTTGCAGTATAAATTTGCAGATTTGCATAAATGACTCATTTTTACACGAATTGTGTCAACTTCAAAAATCTGGTAAAACAATGATTCGATGGCCGGATCTAGATCCGATTACATCAAACAAAAAGGTTTCTACTTAGGATCGTGATCCTAACAACATTGCATTTGAAGGTAATCAATGGTATGACAGTGTCGATGTGAGGTACTCCCTCTGTAAAGAAATATATTTCTTTATGGAGGGAATAATTTTCTAATTCATCACTTCGTAACTTAAACTAAATTGCTCAATACAGGAAGTGGTAAACAAGGAAATCTAAAACACATACATGGAAACATGTTTTCCTTTTTAGATGAGAACACATTTTTAAGTTGGGTGAAGATCATCGTAGCGACCACCGTTGAACATGTGAAATACCTTACTAATCTAATTTTGAAAGCATGCTTAATTGCTTATAAACTGAATTAATATCTTATTTGGCAACCACCCAAGTAGATGTGATCTCGGTATTAACTGCTTCTACTTAGCTAGACATACCTTAAATATGGGCTCCACTTTCCCATGGAAAACTTTGCTAGATCTACCATGTCCAGATCGAGGATTCAGGATGACAAGTATCTTTGGCGGAGACCGACATTTAACATATGGATCAAGCATGGCATCAAATGGAATGAGTTCAGAAGAATGCTTTTTGCTTGATGCCATGGGGTGTGGTAACAGATTTACATAGCATTGCTGATCTGCAAAACCATTAACCCACCGAAAGGCCTCATGTGGAGCAGTAGATAGGAAACGCAAGTCCTTCTGGATTCTTCTAGGCTTCATAAAGCAGGAAAGTCCATTAGATCTCCTTTCAAGAGGGCATGCATGCACGGTGAAATGCCGAAGCCCAGAATTGTATGATACCTGTGGGTTAAGTTAAACAAGAGCTTATTATTAATGTGATATATGCTTGTGGTAAAACTCAGAAACACATATATGCCAGTTGCAGACTGAAGTCAATGAGCTAACAACTTACAGATACAATGTCCTCGAGCTTAAGGATGTTAGAGCCCCATACTAAGGCTTCAGTGGTGAGCCTAGCATCAAAACAATTACCACTAGACCCTGATCCCGACTGTTCACCTGAAACGCTTCTGTCTTTGTTATCTAATGTAAGCTTCCCAGAACAAACTTCGTATCCTAACAAATCAGACTTCTCATCTTCAATTCGGTTATCGTGAGTGCTCCCCTTTTCTGGATCTTTGCTTGCACCTTCTACATTCTTTTGCTTTAAGAATTTTGTATTGCTTGTTTCTGGAAATACAGGAGAAGGATCTTGCTCTGCTGCAGTTGGAGATCGCCTGCTACTTGTACGACGAAGCACTTTATGGATCAGTCCCCTTGGTGAAGTAAGATTCTGCTCGTGGTGGTCAGACTTCTGCATCTCTTTCTTCTAAAAGTAAATCCAGTACAAGCATAGCATTGGAGCTACATGTTAGGAAAAGCCTACGACAATAAAGGCATCACTCCACAAAGCTCATGTGAAGCCACTTATGACTGAGCCTGCAGAATACATGTAACAGAACATCAAACAGATAGTAATAAAACAGATGTGTGCCTTAGTATGTTGTATAAGAAATAACTGGCAACAACTGATCAAAGTGCAATAAACTCCCTGTTATGACCGGCCAGGTCTATGGCCGAAGGAGGCCCAACAGGCAGGCTTAGGCCCGCAAGTTATCTTAGTTTTTATTTTCAGATTATGCAAGTTATCTTAGGTTAATTCTTATACAAGTTATCTTAGGTTAATTCTTCTGCAAGTTATCTAGGATATAAATATAGGTTGTAAGACTCTTTTTGGAATTAAGCAATAAGACTATTTCTATTGCCCGGCTCCCAGAGGAGCCGGAAACCCTAAACCCTAGCCGCCTCCTTCTCTCGCCGCCGCCGCACCGCGCCAGGACGGCGCCCCGCCGCCGGCCGCCGCGCTCAAGCCCTCGCTCTTCCCCCCCCTTCCCCTACTGTCTCCGACCAAGACCGGGCAGAACCCTAGCCGCTAACACCTTGGTATCAGGTACCCGGGTTTCGACCATGTCTTCCCCGCCAATCCCACCACCGCTGCCCCACGCCTCCCCCACCGCCGCTGCCACCGATTCCTCCACTACCGCCGCCGCGTCGACGGGCACTACGGCCTCCTTGTCGGCGCCGCTCTCCTCCGCCCCCGGCACCACGCCGGGCCAGGGCCAGCCGCAGCTTCCCATCCAGCCATCGCCGCAGCTTCCCATCCAGCAGCCATCGCCGCCGCCTTCCCCCCCGCCGCCGCAGTTCACACCAGAAGCTATGGCCGGCGTGCTCAATGACCTAGTCGTGGCGGTCCAGGGCATCCGTCTCTACTTGGCCAGCCCATACGGGCCGCCCCCACCGCTCCACCAGGCCGCGGCCACGGGCCAGCAGGCGCTGCCGTGGTACCCCGTACCGGCGGCTCTCACCGGCGGCTACCCGGCGCTTCCCGCTCCGACGGCTTCGACGACGCCCTGGCCACAATGGCCGACGCCGTTCACGGCGCCAACCGCACCATCCGCCTCCGCCCAGGGACCGCAGTGGCCGACCTGGACTCCACCATCCGCGCCACCCTCCACCGCGCCGTCCCTCCCGGCGGCCACGGCGCGCGCTCCACCACCGCCACCGCCCAACCCTGGGCCGGGCGGGTCCTCGCCGAGCGGCCTCCCTATCCAGGAGGTCCGCTTTCCTTCGTCGCCATCGCCGCTGCCCGACTGGCTCCACGGGCCGCCGTCGGCTCCCACGGAGGCCCGGCCCTCGTCAGGGTCCCCGTGGCAGCCCGAGGCGTCGGGCGTCCCAGGGCAGTACGCCGGGCCGTCTACCCTGGACCGGGCGCCGTCCTCCGCCCTCCGCACCGCCGAGGCCGTGGCCCCGGGCACCCCACACCAGCAGCCGCCCCGGTTCGCCAAAATTGACTTCGCCACGTACGACGGTTCCGAAGACCCGCTTAACTGGCTAAACCAATGTGACCAGTTCTTCCGTGGACAGCGCACGCCCGCGTCCGAGCGCACGTGGCTGGCTTCCTACCATCTTCGCGGGGCCGCCCAGACCTGGTACTACGCCCTCGAGCAGGACGAGGGCGGCATGCCACCGTGGGATCGCTTCCGCGAGCTCTGTCTTCTTCGGTTCGGGCCACCGGTACGCGGGAGCCGCTTGGCCGAGTTGGGCCGCCTACCATTCACCTCCACGGTGCAGGATTTCGCCGACCGCTTCTAGGCTCTAGCGTGCCACGCGCCTGGTGTGACAGCCTTACAGCGGGCGGAGCTCTTCGTCGGCGGCCTTCCCGACCACATCCGCGTGGACGTTGAGATGAAGGGACCACAAGACCTTCAGACGGCCATGTACTACGCGCGGGCATTCGAGCAGCGTGCCCAGGCTTTGACGTCGCCACGGCCATCCGCGCCGCGTGGGGGCCGCCAGCCTCCCCGCCCGCCTCCGGCAGCACCGGCGTCCTCTACCACCGCCCCGGCCGCTACCCCAGCCCCGACACGGCCGTTCCGGCGCCTCACTCAGGCGGAGCAGCTGGAACGCAGGCGCCTGGGCCTGTGCTTCAACTGCGATGCGCCATATGCGTCGGGCCATGTTTGTCCGCGCCTTTTCTACCTGGAGACGACGGACGAGATCGAGGATGACACCCCGGAGGCCGACCTCGGCGCCCCGACTCTTGCGGAGCCCGCAGCGGCACCCGCACCGGGCCCGGCTACCGCCTTCGTGGTGTCCCTTCACGCGCTGGCCGGCATCCGTGATGAACGGACGATGCTTTTACCGGTCATGATCCATGGCGAGCGCCTGGTGGCCCTCCTGGACACAGGTTCCACGCATAATTTCCTGCCAGAGGCCACCATGCGGCGTCTTGCGCTCCAGCCGGCCGGAGGAGAGCAGTTACGGGTCACGGTCGCGAATGGCGACCGTCTACGCTGCCATGGGCTCGCCCGCGACGTGCCCATCACTATCGGCGACGAGCACTTCACCATCACATGCGCCGGCATCGATTTGGGCTGCTTCGACTTTATCCTCGGCATCGACTTCTTGCGCACGTTGGGTCCTATCCTTTGGGACTTTGACGCGCTAACGATGACCTTCTGGCGTTTGGGTCGTCGCATTCGGTGGGAGGGCATTCGGGGGGCCGCACCCGCGCCCCCTCTTCAGCTGGCCACGACGACCACGGAGGCCGAGCATCCGCTCTTGGACGGGCTCCTGCAGCAGCACCGGGATCTCTTTGAGGAGCCGCAGGGTCTGCCACCGGCCCGGATCTACGACCACCGTATTCACCTCCTTCCGGGATCGGCCCCTGTGGCCGTGCGGCCTTACCGGTATCCACAGCTGCAGAAGGACGAGTTGGAGCGACAGTGTGCACTCATGCTTGCCGCCGGCATCATCCGCATCTCCACGTCCCCATTTACAGCACCGGTCCTCCTCGTGCGTAAATCGGATGGCACGTGGCGTTTCTGCATTGACTACCGTGCCCTTAATGCTCTCACATTGAAGGACAAGTTTCCTATTCCGGTTGTCGATGAGCTTCTCGACGAGCTGCACGGGGCACGCTTCTTCACCAAGCTGGACCTTCGATCAGGGTATCATCAGGTGCGCATGCATCCAGACGACATCGCCAAGACGGCGTTTCGGACTCATCACGGCCACTTCGAGTTCTTGGTGATGCCCTTTGGCCTCTCCAACGCCCCGGCGACGTTTCAGGCCTTGATGAACGATGTCCTTCGGCCCTACTTACGCCGGTTTGTGCTCGTTTTCTTTGATGACATTCTTATCTACAGCGCCTCTTGGGCAGAGCACCTCCAGCATGTGGCCATCGTCTTCAACGAGCTTCGGGCGCATCATCTTCATCTTAAGCGCTCGAAGTGCTCGTTCGGGACGCCGTCGGTCGCTTACCTCGGCCACGTCATCTCGGCCAAGGGAGTGGCCATGGATGCCGACAAGGTCGCGGCCGTCGCCGCCTGGCCGATTCCGCAGTCTCCGCGTGCTCTTCGCGGGTTTCTTGGCCTCGCGGGGTACTACCGGAAGTTCATCCGGGAGTTTGGCCTCATCGCGGCCCCACTCACGCGTCTCCTCCGGCGCGACGCCTTCTCTTGGGACGAGGAGGCCACTTCAGCCTTCGAGGCCCTCAAGGGGGCCCTCACGACGGGACCTGTACTGCAGATGCCGGATTTTGACCTCCCCTTCACCGTCGACTGCGACGCTTCCGGTGCGGGGTTCGGTGCGGTCCTACACCAGGGCGAGGGACCCCTCACTTTCTTCAGTCGCCCATTTGCCGCACATCATCTTAAGTTGATGGCGTATGAGCGTGAGCTCATTGGGTTGGTGCAGGCCGTACGCCATTGGCGGCCCTATCTTTGGGGTCGCTCTTTCCGGATCCGCACGGATCATTACAGCCTCAAGTTCATGCTAGATCAGAGGCTCTCGACGGTGCCCCAGCACCAATGGATCAGTAAACTCTTTGGCTTTGACTTCACCGTCGAGTACCGTCCGGGTCGCCTTAACACCGTCGCCGACGCCCTGTCTCGGCGTGATGCCGATGTGGACGACGGTGCGGCGGAGGGGGCGGCCTTCTGCATCATCACCGGGCCCTCCTTCGCCCTCTACGACGACATCCGCCGGGCGACTGCTGCTGCGGCCGATTCCCTCCTCCTACAGCAGCAGTTGGCGGCGGGTGAGCTGGAGGAACCATGGCGCCTTGCCGATGGCCTGCTTCTCCATGGGCGCCGGGTCTTCGTTCCGGCGCACGACGATCTTCGCCAGCAGGTGCTGCGCCTCGCTCACTCGGCGGGCCATGAGGGAGTGCAGAAGACACTCCATCGCCTCCGCGCCGACTTCTACATTCCAGGTGATCGTGCCTTGGTCCGTGACTGGGTACGGTCGTGTGTGACGTGCCAACGCAACAAGACGGAGACTCTACGGCCGGCTGCAACCCTTGGAGGTCCCTACTCAGGTTTGGGCGGACATCTCCATGGACTTCATCGAGGGCCTTCCCAAGATGGGCGGCAAGTCTGTCATTCTCACGGTGGTCGACCGCTTCTCCAAGTATGCTCATTTCATACCGCTCGGCCATCCATATTCAGCGGCATCGGTTGCCCGGGCCTTCTTCGATGGCATTGTCCGTCTCCACGGGTTCCCTTCTTCGATCGTCAGTGATCGGGACCCCGTGTTCACGGGACACGTGTGGCATGACCTTTTCCGGTTGGCGGGCATGAAGCTACGCCTCAGCACAGCCTTCCACCCTCAGACGGACGGCCAGTCTGAGATCGTTAACAAGGTGATTGCCATGTATTTGCGCTGTGTTACAGGTGATTGCCCTCGTGCATGGGTGGACTGGCTCTCGTGGGCAGAGTACTGCTACAACACCTCTTATCACTCCGCCCTGCGAGCTAC